TTGTCATGTTATTATAGTAAGAATATTAAACTTTGACAAAGTAATCTTTGCTATAAAAAACATGAAGTATATAATGCTTGTCATATGATATATATATATTAGATTTAATATAATGATGTTCATTCTTACATAGTTATTCATACATGTTGATATATTTTTGTTGTTGCCAAATTTCTGAATGTACTTCCTTGTTAAATTGTATATGCTAAAACAATTGTTGTGTCATACCTAAGGATAGATCTATGTCGTTTTCATCAGTTTCTAAATTTAATATATGCATCTTCTTATAATCATTGTATCATTACCATCATGAACCTCACAACGTATGTACCAACTACTATTAGAGTTGTATATTATTGTTACAGATTTTACTTGAGCCATAATCGAACATCTTCAAATATGATTTGAAACGATATTGAAACTTTTATTTTGAATAAAGGTTTAAACAAATGTTTAAACACTTCTCGAATAATGGTTTGAATCTCTTCGTATCCATATCCATCACATGGCCTTCAAGATAATTGTGTTAATGGAAAAAACATGAATAATTTAATTAAAATTAATTATTGAATATATTCTCAATAAAATAAAAAAGAAGATCAATTTCTTACATTTTCACAATCATGCTTTCACATAAATTCCCCTTCGTGCGGTGTCCGAGAGAAGAGCCGTCCGAATTTGCTGAGTATAGTCAAAATTTTTGTGAATAATTTGCTTATTTGTGAGTATTGATAAAACTCGATAAATTTTAATAAAATTCAAATGATTATTTGTTTGGAACTCCGCAGTAATTTAATATTCTCTCTATTTTCAATGCAAGCTTGAAACAAGAAAAGATGTGTATAACACTATAAAAAAACATAAAAAATGAATAAATCCCAAAATAATTCTAGTGGGTGCCAAAAACAAGCATGAACAAGAACCGAACCAGGAAATAAATCCAAAAATTATTAATAAATCGTTTATTTCTAATATTTTTCCTCCTTCCTTCTACTACATCTCTTCTCTCCCTCGCTTACTCTTCGAAGTCTCCAATCTTTTCTTCCCCAAATCTGAAATGGGGACTAGTTGGAGAATCGGTATTAACGACAATGGAAACAGAGACGATGAGGACTGCGGTGGAAGAAAACAGCTTAGGCGCTGCCCGATCTCACGAGCTTGTCAGCTCCCATGATCCAGCGAAGTGATATCCGGAGGGCCTCGTGAGTTGGAATCTCACCGGCCAATCGGCTTCTAAGCTGGACCATCGGATTGGTCATCTCACGCAGCTTAAGAAGCTTTCATGCGGCCAGAATCTCTTCGATGACGAGGGCCATCGAGCCTTTATTGCCGGTGGAGTACATTTCTAGCATTGCAAGTATGGATTCTCTATTGATGATTTTTTTGGGGAAAGAAATGGACAAGAGGTACCTGGAAATCGCGCTGAAATAATTTTTTCTTATTAGTTTGTAGGCTTACTAATAGGAAATCAATGGATGGTCCTATATAATTATGTACATAGAAATTGTTGTTCCTTGGGTTACATGTCTTGAAGTAATCTATATATAAATTATGTAGGTCTTGGTTTTTGAAAATCGGAGCTTTTAATAGACTGTTAGTCGGTTGCAGGCTGTAGCTTACACTTCTAGGATCAAAGAATAATTAATTAGAAAAATATGTAATTAAAAGGAAAGGTGGAATAGAAAATTGTAGAAATTTACTGAAAAGTGTTTATTTAATCATTTAAGTTACGGAGTATAGAGGTACCTTTTTCACAGAGATTTGGTATTTATGATTTTTTCATAGGACCATTTTTACTTGAATGATTTTTCAATGTCTAATCACCTTCTTTTTGGCTAGATCTTCAACCTTTTAGAACTTGTGTGCCATCGTCAGTATTTGTTACCTATTCTGTGTCCCCAAATAGTTTTAGGACATTTGGGATTGAAAACTATCTCTGTTGCTTTGCCGTCGCACTTCCTTTTATTTCTTATTATTATAAAAGTGAGTTTTTCTTCTTCATTGAATGGTTAGATGGAAGTTGCGTCGTTATATGACTATGTCTAGAGATATTTGAGGGTGCTTACAGCTACAAAGATCATTTGCCCATCAATTGTGTGGTTTATCGCCAGCAGCCCAAGAATCCTTAATTAAGCCTTTCTTTGGCAAAATTTCTAGTCTTTTCAGAAAAATAGTTCAATGGGCACCCGACTCCCTTTGTGACCATTCAAATCAATTTAGAGTTGTAGCCATAATCTAGATCAGACGATTTTAACTTATTGTTGGAATGGGTTGAGTAGCTCCAGTGGAAGATAAAAAGTAGCAAAGAGTCGCTTAGATGGTTTGGTCACAAAAATGAGCGCTCTTCCGCATTGACCCAGTTAGGAAAGTAAGTGATATTAGATTGACTTATGTTAAGAAAGATAGAGTAGACCTAAAAAGACTGGTCGAAAATATTAGGGAAATGATCTTTCTTTATGTAGATATAAACCGAGAATTTGACGTTTAACAGGATACAATGAGAGAAAAAGGATTCATGTAGCCGATTCCCCACATTGTGGGGACAAGGCTTGATGTTGTGTGTTGGAGGTTGTTATGATGCAGCAACTGATAGGATTTCCTTCAAGAGCTCACCGATAATTAAACTTTGGGCTGCCGAAAAGTTTATGCACCACGGTTGAGATCTAACTTTATAGCAGCTTTCATGATGAATCAATTGAGACAATCCTATTTTTTGACTGATTATATGTGAACTGCTTTAAAAACCTTATGATGCCCAATATCCCATACTTCCTAATTGTTGGTCTATCTTGCCCTCCATAGTCATGCATTTGATTTGGTTTCCTCTAATTAAAGTGTGAATACAAGTACCTTACTGAGTTATAACACAAAGAACTCTTGGTAAGATATACATAAGTGCAATATGCTTATCTGAAATAATGCACACCATGCTGTTTCAGCTAATGATCATAGGGATTTTAAAAGAGAAGGTGATTTCGTTAGAAAGTTCAGAACATAATCTTCATCATGATGGAATTACAACGTAAAATATAGGTTCCAACTTGATATTAAAAGATGGAAATTTAAAGAGTTTCGTTGCTGTATGAAAAGTCTTTTTAAACTTTTAATCCAAGGTATGCGGCTAGTTTTTAAAACTTTTCAATCCATTGCATTATTTTGCTTTGATTGTTGATTTTTTTTTTGTTTCTGCAGGAACTTGTTCTCGAGCAGACAATAAATTGTCTAAAATACCCGATGCAACCATTTAAGGATTCTTCTTGTGTTTGAATGTTGTCTTCAATGACGATATCTTCGTGTTGAATGGTTTTAGCAGAAGGTCTCAAAATACACTCAAAGAGCTCTATGTTTCCAAGAATGAATGAGAAGAAAGATGAGTGACTTGAAACGCTCAAGCCTTTACAAATTCTTGAACTTGGTTCAAACCGATTTTAGGTGAGGTTTTCTTCTTCTTGGGTAGAGATTTGAGATTATCAGAAACTTATGCACTAGATTGGTCGTCTTTGGTTATAGAGACCAATTTGTAAGCTAGTTCAATTGAGATGTTTGTTTTCTAGCCATGGATATGCTTTTGTCTGCTGAGGGTCCCTTATCATGACTTCAATATGATGATATTGCTGAAAATTTACAAATGTTTAACGTGTGTTGCTTGTTTTAGGCTTATTTAAGCTTATGTTTCTCAGCCCAGCTGTTATTTCAGGTAGATGGAGAAACTTGGAGACCTTGAAAAATTAGAAGAGGTTGTGGCTAGGACAGAAATCGCATTAGAGATGTGAATTTGTGTGGGTTGAATGCATACAGAAAAATAAGTTTGGCAGAGCATCGACTGACATCCATAGTGATTTCAGGTATTTATCTTAAACTCCATGTTGCTTCCTTTTAACCATGTATTGCATTTGAAAATTGATCCATGGGTTGCTTGTGCTTCTGAGGAATGTGTTGGACTAGAAGAATTATTATTTAAGCCATAATGGTTATGCTAGAGGAAGGCTTATCTCTACTCTTGAAATCTCGTGTTCCTTGATGTCTGTTCGAACAAACTAACTGGAATTTAATGCATTGAGAATCTGACAAGTCCTATTTTTTGTTTACCTTTTCAAAAATATGTTGATGTCTATGTCAGATGTGTCACACATTAGTATTATGCAGGTGGAAGACTTTGTGCTTAATGCATAACCAAAATAACCATCCTGAAGGCATTGATGTTGCTATAGCTGGTTCAAAAGAGACAGCCTTACGACCATTATATCATTGAACACAACCCATGTGTACTGTTACTCCCAAAGTTCCAGATCATCTTTTTCTATTTTGGTTCTGATTGAATATGTTGTTTGGGAAAATATAATGGTTATATATGATTTGTTTGGGTTCATCATTATTACGTTAAGCATGAAGTATGGAGCATCCATCTCAGACAGAAATGGTTAAATAAGCTTGGTTCTCTATACTGCTAGGAGACAGATGTGTGGAATTGGTCAGGCCAGTCCTTTCCTGACAGGCCTTGGGGCTGATAGGAGGAGATTAATTAAAAAAAAATGTTTCATAATAAAGAGCAGATTTGGGGATGATTTTTTTTTTTGGGGGCGGGGGGATTAATATGAACTGTTTCCT